CTCCCCCTCCCGCTCCCGTCTCCCCCTCCCGTCTCCCCTCCCGCTCCCTTCCACCCTCCCTCCCTCCGTCGTCTCCCCTGCCACACCAACCCCCCCAAGCCACACCCCCCGGTGAATCTTTTCTGCATTCCCTTGAATGCCTTCACATCTTTGATTGGGTTTAGAAGTGTGATAACGCGAGGATCCATCAGTTTGCCATCACATACTGCTCAGACTAACACATTGAGGAACGGGCTTCTGATTGCAGGGCGGCTCAGTGGTTAGCGCTGCTGCCTCACAGTGCTGGGGACCCGGGCTCGATTTCACTCTCGGGCAACTGTCTGTGTGAAGTTTGCACATTCTCCCCGTGTCTGTGTGGGTTTTCTCTGGTTTCCTCCCACAGTCCAAAGATGTGCAGGCTGGGTGGATTGGCTCTGCTCAATTACCTGTCGTGTCCAGGGGTGTGTAAGTTAGGTGGGTTAGCCATGGGAAATACAGGGAAAGGGGATGGGGATGGGTGGGATGCTCTTTGGGACTGCTGCCTCCCCACCACCCGTCTCTTCCTGTAAACTGATTACAACTTGTAACTTTCGATTCCTTTTTCTACAGGAACTTAATTGTAAACATAGGGCTGTTTGCCATAGGAGTTTATATTGCCCGGAATCTATCTGACATTGATTTGATGGCACCTCAGCCTGTGGCATAAGTAAGATCTTGGTAAGTTGTGCACCAGAAAGTTACAAAACACTTCATACTCTGTACAAGGTTCATGACAAAACCCTCTGTGGAGAGTACTGATAACCACCAGTAAGCTGGTAGCTGAGCTCTGCCAACCTTTTCTTGCCCTGACATTTCAACAAACTTTTCTGGCAGTGTGCCAATCGCTTAGAATAAAGAATGAGATCCGCTATTGACTCCTCTTCTTCTGTTCAGTGATATCAGCTGTCTGCGTTGCAGTTCATCTTGACTCAATGTGAATTGGAGTATTCAAAAATTTGGAATTATTCCACACTGAACTCTCAATTCAGTTCATAGAACATCTACATTACAGAAGGAAGCCATTTGGCCTTCTGTGTTCTGTGTTCACGTTAGCTCTCAGTAAGAGCTATGCAGCTAGTCCCATGTCTTTTTTCTTGCAAATATGGCAATGACACATTGTCTGATTGACCAGTCATGATCTTAATGTGGGTCATGATGAAAAGGTAGAAGAGAGCAAGGGAAGAACAGGGAATGCTGGAGAAACTCGGCATGTCTGGCAGCAGCTATGGAGAGAAAGAGTTAACATGTCGACAATGAAGAAGTCATATCAGACTCAAAATGTTTACTGTGTTTTTCTCTGCACAGATGCTGCCAGACCTGTTCAGTTTCTCCAGTTTGTTTCAGATTTGTTCCAGCATCTGCAGTAGTTTTTCTTTAATAGGAGAGCAAGACAGTTTCCCTGGGAACCAAGTTGGTAAGTACAGAATCTAATGCAGGCACTGTACCTTTGGTAGGTTCCATGATTAGTTGTCAAGTTTGCTGATTTCAGCAAGATTGCTGTGTCACTGCAAAGTGGACACGCTGCTGTCATCCTTGCTACTGATGTAAATGCTAATATCACTTCACTTTCTGTTATTTGATAGGTGGGAAAGATGGACAGGTTGTGTCAGGTCAAGGAGCCGGGAATGAGAGGGAGGGTTGGTCATGGGATGAGGCCGGGGGGGGGGGGGGGGAGATTTTAAAACAGGTGAATTCTATGTTCAGGCCATCAGGCTGTAAGGTCCCGAGGTGGAATATGAGGTGTTGCTCCTCCAGTTTGCGTGTGGCATCATTGTGGTACTGGAAGAGGCCCAGGATGGACATCTCACCAAGGGAGTGGAAGGGGGAGTTAAAACGGTTGGCAACCAGAAGGTGTTGGCGATTATCGTGTACAGAGCGCAGATGCTGTACAAAATGGTCCCTGAATCTGCACTAGGTCTCAACAATGTAGAAGAGGCCACATCAGGAGCAACGGATACAGTAGACCAGGTTGAAGGATGGTCAGGTGTAAACCCTGTCGGATATGGAAAGTTTGTCTTGGGCCTTGAACGGAGGTGGGGGCAGGTGTAGCACTTCCTGCAGTTGCAGGGGAAGATCCTGGATGTGGTGGGGTTAGTGGGGAGTGTGGAGCAGACTAGCAGTCCCTACAAAAGGCACATTTGGTTGGGGAGGAAAATATCTCTTTGGTCGTGGGTTTGGATTGTAGGTGGCAGAAGTGGCGGAGGATGATAAGTACTGTTGGTGACTGGAAGGGAGGAGGTGGGGCTGGAAAGGGAGCTGTGGAATGGGTGGGGGACAGAAATTTGAAATTAGAGAATTCAACGTTGAGTCCTCTGGGCTGTAGGGTGCCCAGGTGGAAGAGGGGGAGTGGGACGGGGAATTGAAATGGACGGTGACCAGGAGGTTAGGTTGGCTGTAACAGGCCAGGTGAAAATGCTCAGCGAAGCAGTCACCACCATAGAGAAGACCACATTGGGAACACCGGATGCAGTAGACTAGGTTGGAGGAGATGCAGGTGAAACTCTGTCTCACCTGGAAGAGCTGTTTAGGGCCGTGAATGGAGGTGAGGGAGTTGGTGTGTGGGCAGGTGTTGCATCTTTTACGGTTACAGGGGAAGGTACCAGGTGGGTTGGAGTGGTTGGTGGGGGGTGTGGCTTGAACTAGGGAGTGGCAAAGGGAATGGTCCTTGCGGAAGGCAGAGAGGGGTGGGGTCTAATTGGAGTTGGCGTAAGTGTTTGAGGATGATACATTGGATGCAGAGGCTGGTGGGGTGGAAAGTGAGGACAAGGGGGATCCTGTCTTTGTGTTTGGGGGGGTGGTGGTAGTGGTGGTTAGGAGCTGTGGAGCAGGGAATGGAGGAGGCGTGGTGAAGGGCTGTCTGGATGACAGAGGTGCGGAAAGAGCATTGTTCGAAAATGGTGGACATCCGGGATGTTTGGGAGTGGAACATCTCCTCAGAGCACATGCGATGGAGATGGAGGAATTGGGAAAACGGGATGGAGCCCTTCCGGTCACCAACTAGATCCATCCATCCCTCCCATCGACGAATCAGGTCGTACCTACTACCACCTACCATTCCTCCTCCACCCTGCCCCACCCCTCTCTTTATCTGCAGCTCCCC